CTCTATTTGGGCTTCCTAATCATTGGTGTAGTGAGTAATCCTGAAGCTTTGTGCGCGTTTTGCAAAATAACCTGGCAAACAGGCAAAAAAAAAACCAGAGCAAAGTAATTTTTGTGCCATCTCTAAAAAAAAAGGAAAGCCTACAAAGCTTACATACAAAGATTCTTTTTTTTTTTTTCTTCTTTTTTTTATTTACAGTAATATTTTTGAAGAAAATTGGTATAAATTGATGTAAATTTTTGGAGGCCAGTGGCATCGATTTGCCACAGTTAAAATGTGATTTTTTTCTCCTACAAACTCCCTTTATCAAGAAATATGACTTTCTGAGTTGGATTTGTTGAATTCAGTAATATATTCTTACAGCTTCAAAATAAACTGCTGAAGCAAGTGCAACCTTGTATTACCAGTTAGGCCAACTTGGATATCTAGGAATATAATGACTCCAGCTACAGACACAGTTTTGCTACCTGTGCATGTGAAAGACAAAGGGGCGTGTATATTTTTATGCATAGCTGCATGCACATTTTTGAAAATCTGGAAATCTAGGGGTTCTGTGAAGCATTCAGTAAAATGTATATCAAATGCAAAAATGCATAGTGCTAAATCCCTCTAAGTTCAGTAACTTCTCTCTCTTTTTTTTTTTTTTTTAATTTGATAACCATGGAATATTGGTGGCTGAGTATGGACAGATACACTTCTGAATATGGGAAAATAAAAGTATAACTGTGACAAACACAGTTTAATTCAAGATTATTCTTAGATGCGTAAGCCAATGCATGAATCCAACCTCAGTACCTTAATTTGTGATACTTAAAAACAGTTAATGTGTTTTGTTTTATTTGTTATTTGGTTGAGCAGATGGTAATGGTTTTGACACAATTCAGTTTTTTATTTTTCTTCTTTTCTTTTCTTGAAAAAGACAAGGCTCTTTTTCCCACTTTGTCACAGCTGGTTACCAATCAATCTCAATTCACGGTACAGTGATGATAGCACATGTTGTTCAGGGGCCAAATCTGATTGGGTTGCATTTTCAGCAGTGTTTCATGTAAAAAAAAATTTGTGTCTGTATGGCAGTGACTGTCAGCACACTATTGTGCAACTGTCATTAATCAAAACTAGCAACAATGAATGCATTCATATGTGCCAGAGACTGCCAGATTTCACTCAAAATCACCCAATTTCTATCAGAATTTCCTCACCAGCAGTGTTTTCTCATCTGCTTGTTGTTTCTCTGTTTCTTTCTTCCTTTCGAGTCCCCTGCCCCCTACTTCCTTCTTGGGTAATTAAAGGCAGACCTGCTCTCACTGTTACTTGTAGAATAGAAATTATGTAACGTGGTGCCCAAGAATGGCTGGTTTCTATCTAGGCACAGGCTGACTATCTTTTTGAAAGACGTCTCCCAGCTAAGTAGGATGGCTGAAGTCAAAGATGAACTGAAAGGTTAAGCACCTCCAAATGTTTAACAAAGAGAAGTACTTAAAACCAATTAGATGGCCATAAACATGAGAAACTGATGTCTGACGCTCAATGTTTTTAGCTGGATGTTGTCATTAATTGGCTAGGAGTCAGCAATATTTGAGGAATATGTCAGAAGGTGTTTCTTGACACTGCACATATTTTGAAGGCATTGCCTTCTTAGTGCACTGGCAACATTAAGGACCAACCTAACCAGTACGGTCTGGTTTTCGGCCATTCCATCATCAGTCCAGGAGTCTGGTAACCTCTCTCTGTGGTTGGTATTAACAGTCAGAGAGGCCCTTATCCTGATTCCCCAAGTGTTCAGTAGCACTAATCCAGAGGAGAGTGAGCTTCTCCAGAAACTCAGATGGAAACATCTTGCTATGGGAATATGAGGCTCTGGGATGGAGAGGAGACAAGACATTGTTCAAGACTGCACAGGTGGATGCCTCAAGAAACTGAAAACACATTCAGGCTTCAATCCTTGTTACTTCCTGGTTTGTTTCTCACACAAACTCTTTGTGCTGCCGTGGATCAGGCTAAAAGCCAGTTTTCTTCCTTTCTCCTTCATGCCTGCTTCATCTGTCAAAGCTCTTTACTGAACCGTAGTGACTTCTGGGGACAGTGTGGGTGGAACAGATGAATGAGGGGCAGCGTATCTGTACTTCAGGACAGCAGATGGTTATAATGTCCCATGGGACCATCTGTGTATGAATCTTAGCTGCTAGATGGCACATTCTGTCAGGGTGGTCCAAAACCCCAGTATGGCCTTGTTGGAGAAGCAGACTGGGAGAGCTGGGCCTCTCCTTGAAGTAATTGATAACTGGGCCATGATAGCAACATGTTTACGCCTCTCTCCGTTTCACGACCCAAGTGGGAGATGATGGCTGTACCCTCGCTCTGCGTCCTGGCATGCCACGCAGCTGGCTCGTTCCCCCAGCAGCCTTCGCACAATTTGCATGATTGGCAGGTGCAAGCATAAAGCCTGCCGAAGCCTCCAAGGCAGCTGGCTGGCATGCCGGCACCGGCACGTCCGTGAGATGAAGAAGAGCGCGTCAGCTGCAGCCCACAGCAGACTGGAGAGCCCTGTCCCAGGCTGCCGGCATCCCCGTTCAAGCAACCACTCAGTCAGATGAGTCTTGCTGCCTGTCTGTTTTTATCTCGGCAGTGGTTAGTGAACCACAGGGATGTTATTTGTCCTAAAAAATAAAGGAAAAAAAACGATAAAATAAATGGCTAATTGTTGCCCAGCTTTATAACTGCAATTCCTATATACAACTCATTTATATTACAACTAATCTTAGTTTTCTCATCTTACAGGAGCTGAATACAACTTTATATTTTTAGTCCCCTGAGGCTGGCCTCATGTCAAGAAAATAAGCATTTGCTCTTGTCTGCAACTCTGTGGTTGCCAAAGACAAATAACTGCTCCATCATTGTGGGATACTGTTGTCATATTCTTGAGATTTTTAAGGGAGAGAATTTGCCTTTTCTCTCTTATGAAAAAAATTATTTTAATTTGCCATTGACTAGTGCAGCACAGCGTGCAAAATGATGTAATTTGTGCATAGTTGAGAAGAAATGTTCCTCACATGCCTATGGCTGTTGAATGTAGTTGCAATAGATCTGTACTGCTCCAGAAACTGCATATCAAGGTCTCTAGTGTCATAACTTCCCCCTCCTACCTCCCTAGTGGTACTGCAATAGACAAAAATATTGTCCCTATAAATTTCTGAAATTTGCCATGTTATATACTTACTCTTCTCTCTGGCATATCTCTTATTCATTAGTTAAACCTGAGGTACTTCATATACATATAATGAAGCGTAATACCTAACAAAAGGGGTATTATATGTGTTTATATTTATCTCTGACAGAATGGTTAGCCTCAGTTTGGTCTTTTTAAATTTGTTTTTTTGCTAATGGATAGAATAGATGTACTGAATATGAAATGAAGTTGTATTATATAGTTGTGAGTGTGAAAAGATGTCTTGACTTCTCTTTATTCTTGGAATTGTTAGTAATGCTCTAACTGGTGTTGTGAGCTTTAATTAGATATAACAGAATGTATGTTAGATATAGCATAATATATGTTTCAACATACAAGATCCTTTGAGTTAAGAGGCTTTAAAGTCTGTTAGCACACAGTGGTCTCTCTACAAATCTATACTAAAGAACCAATAGTAATGTATGTTATGTACACAGAAATTAATGTTTCAGGTTCACAAAGCATTTAAAAATACTCATAGAGCCTCACAACATTCCTGTAACTAACTGCATTACATTCTTATTCATCAAAGCATTTAAGGGCGCTCTTCCATATGATTTCAGTATGTTTGCTGAACATGTCTACCAGGTCTTTACTGCATAACAAAGAGAAGGTAAATTAATTCTTCTGAAGTTTTGTCATGAGTGTATATACAGTGAGAAAGAGTAATGACATCTCCTGAAGTCTTGATCTTTCTTTAGTTTCATGTTCCTATTTCACTATTTGATACATAAGAATATGAAACTAACTCTAGGTTCAAGATGACTTAAGGTATCATGGGCTTATTATGTCTAGAAGAAATGTTGCTGAAAATAATTTTACAAGAGAGTATTTCAAGAGTAAAATATCCATGCTGAAAACCAGGGTTTTCATGATTTGGGAGCCAAAGAAATTTCATACAAGATGAAGTCTCCCGTTGACTTTAATGAGCTTTGGATCAGAGCCTAAAATAGTTTATTAAGCTTGACTTCTGCAGGATAATAACAATTTAACTGAAAATATTTTTCTAGGTATAAGCACTCTAAATACCTTGAGTATGAATGTTCACTGCATGCTGAACTACTTTGTATTATTTCAAGTTTTATACATCCTCTTACTTTTAGAATCATTACAACAGTAGAAACAGAGAAATGGACAAAGCATAACTGAATTGTTTCTGATTTCTTTTAAGAAAGAGAGAAAGTTATTGTCTTCCCTTAATGAATCATTTTGTAGTACTACTGTGAAATTGATAAATCTCCTTTAATGTGCCTCTTCAATAAATGTCACCTTCCAGAGCTTAAATATATTTTTTATTGTTTGTAATCTTGTAGTGTCAGATCCTACCAACATGCTCACAGTTTCCCTGAGGGGTTGCTGCTGTAGAAAAAAACTATATATAAAGGGAAATTTCAAAATCAGCAAAAGGCAAAATGTGTAGCTCACATAGTTAAAGGCATGATAAACCTGAGCTGTCATGTATTGATAACTGATGTCTGATAGCTTAATTTTATCTTATTGCTCTAGATCAAGGACAAAGTGAATGATATTATTAATAAAGCCCTAATCCTGAGTGAATGTAGCAATACTAATTTTATGTAAAGTTTCTAACTAATGCAGAGTGCAATAAAAATGTCATGAAGATTAATGCTTGGTGGAATTATCTAATACTAGATAATAATTTATCTTCCAAAGTTGGCTTCAAGATAGATTCAGACTGGCATATTCCAGGTGAGAGTTTTCATTCGTCTCTGTTGTCTACAGAAAGAATTTTAATTCTTTTTCTGTAACGCAGGTATGACATCAAAGATGACTACACTTTGCGCATTAAGAAAGCCATGACCACAGATGAAGGAACTTACACATGCATTGCTGAAAATCGCGTTGGAAAAGTAGAAGCCTCTGCTACCCTCACTGTGCGAGGTGAGTGTTCCCATGAAGGGAGAACCCATGTCCTATATGGATAAACTGCTTTCCGACAAAATCGGCCACATTCTTATCTGGCATTTTGGGGGTTTCACATACACTTTGCAATTGTGGATGTTGCACTGATTTACAACAGGGGTGAAATCGTGATCCTGTTGATATCTGAGGAAAAATTTTAATTTACTTCAATAGAATAGAATCTCCCTGAAGTTAAAGCTGTTTGAATGCTTTTTTCTTCAAGAACAGATGCATATATATGCATAAGCAAGCAATACAGAACTGTGGGTGTAGACTTTAATATGTGAGCCACCAGTTTAGGCTGTTATTCATGTTCCTTTCTCTAATATAAGTCTAAGGAGTATAGTAAGTAACTATGTTTATTGATGCCAAACATAATGCAGATAGTATTATTATGTGATTAGCTCTGCTATAATTAAACTCTCTACCATTACTCTTTATATGAAAAATAAACCTAGCCAAAGGAAAAAGATTGACTGTGTAAGTATTGTAAATATTACAAGGTAGAGACTAACATATTCTCGCCAAAAATGTTCTTGGTCTCTAGTATGCACTCAGTGTTTATGTGCTGCTGTTTGATGTGGTAGGGAGGTTTTAAGACCAGTAGAATAATGAGTTGCCAAAATGCCTTTTGTGACAGTAGATATAGACATGCTAAAGATTATGGGGAGAGAAAAAGTTTGTAGGCTAATATTTCCATATGAGTAAATAGAGTGTAATAGTTATTACTTCATTCCAAAAGATAAGCAGCAATTTGGCACAATGGATATCATGCAGACACTATTTCACAGTTTAGTGGTGCATGCTGACGGTTTTCAGTAGAGCTGTGAAAGGTTAATAAAAACATTTTTAGCTTTATCTGTTCTCCTCTTTTCATACACATTAAATCAAATGTTCAAAGTCTCAATGGATTGCTTTATTAGAACTGGGGTCAACTGACCCAAGAGGCCAGCTTCCATTTCCATCCATTTAATGCATGGACACAGTTCAGTTTAATTTGCTGAATTCAAAGGGAAAAAAAAGCACCAAGTGGCTTGGGGGTGGGGGGATGGGGTGGGGGGGTGGGCAATGTTAGTATATAACAAAGAAAAGAGAGTATTGTGATAATCCATCTGCTAAAATATTACCTCAGTGTTCGCTTTAGACAATAAGTGATAATGCAACTCTTCCTGTTTTAAACTGAAAAAATAGGTTTACCTGCTACATGCTTGTGTAAGAAATTGTTCTGCCATTTTGTAGTATGAGAATACAGCGAACTTCCAGAAATACTCTCACTCTGTTCCTTTGTCACAGGCAGAATCATGGTATCCAATAAATCTGGCAATCAATTTGATAGCCTTTAAATACTCCTAGAACTGTGTCCGCTGCACATATTAGCGGAGCAAGCCTTTCAGATTTGCTACCCAGACTTGTGATATAAACAACAGCTAAAACCAAGAAAAAAATCTTCTGAAATCACTGAAGCTTGAGCCTGATGAAATTAAAGTGAAAAAAAACCAAGGAAATATATAATTTAATCGATTTTCCTACAGTAAAAGCAGTTTTTCATTATCTTGGGTATTTTCCCCCCCTGGGTTTGTCATTTACAGTCAAATACATAGTGTTTATCCAACACAAAGGAAGCCACAATATTATAAGCATATTAAATGTTCAGGATATAACAAAAAATGAGAAAAGCCAAGAAATTCAATGGAGAAGGCTATTGCTCTGAATTTTCTGAAAACAAAGGACTGGGCAATCTCCCATCGACTTTAAAGGGACCATGAACAACGGACTTTTTAATTAAAGGAAGCCTTAATTCTGAATTCTTAAACTTTTGCCAGTTTTGTCTGAAACTGCTATTAACCACTTGTTATTTAGAGGAACAAAACCATATAGCATTTCAAAATTTACCTTGAGGGTGCCTTGGTCCTTGCAGGTGTCATGTAATTGCAGCTGCAAACCTGGCAACGGCAGCATAATCCTTAGCTCCCTCATTCATGGCTCCATCTTCTCAAAGCAGGGGATGAGGATACAGTCAGGATGTTTGCAATACGCTGTCACAAAAACAACTGAATTTTAATTCTGTGACTCAGCCTTCATGTCCTCTCTTGGAAAGAAGCCTATCACTCTTATTCCTTATCTCTCTTCAGAAGAAGGAATATGTCCATAATACTAGAAGCCAGAAAGTCTTCAAATAGATGATGGGTGAGAAAGGGCAGCAGGCTTGAAATGGTTAAATAAAGTGAGTATGCCAAAGTAAGGAAAAAGCCAGAGAAAGGTTGAGAGCTGAGAAGGTCCTTGTATGCTGTGTTACCTCTGAATCTGCATATCTTACATATATATGCACATAAGCATATAGAGCTGGTTAACTTCCTATGAAGGAAAAAAAAAAAGAGAAAAAAAAATTGTGCTGTTGCTCAGAAATGTGTAACTACTTCTGCTGCTAAATAAAGGGTAGTTTTGCAACCTGGCGTCAATTTTATGTTCAACTTTTCAGCTCTTCTGAAAGGGGATGTCTATATTTTATTAAGAGAGGGACTGACAGCCCTCTTCCCCAGCACAAGTATAATGAAGGGCTGTTGCTATAATCAAGAAATCACTTGTTGCAGCAGCAGCTTTCAATCTTGATATCAACCTGAGACAGTATTAACCTGTCGATCATTTAGCAGCAATTTTTTTAGGAAGAAGTTATCTAAGCAGTAATTTGGGAGGTTCTGGGTTGAAATCCCTGTGGCCATTTCAGCCTATTTGTTATATTTTCATCAGCACTGTCAGTGAGGAAAAAGCAGTGTGCTGTAAGCTTTCATGCCCATTATTGAATGAGAAAAACTGTCCTGGGCTTTCTGTAGCCCTTACCGCTGTACTGACTGGTCATGCTTAAAATTCAATTGATATTTGATTCAGAAAGCAAACGCCTTGCATCTACTGGCATCACATTTGGCAGTCTGTGGCTTAAATGGATGTGTTCATCAGGATCAAAAAGTTTGTGCTAACACAATGCAATTTTTCTTTTATCAGGCATTAACAATGATACTTGATGATGACATGCGAAGATAATAAAAATGTTTCTCAGAATGGTTCCTGTCAGCTTGTTCAGATGCTATGATCAAGTAAATGTGATAATAGTGGCACGTGCCTAAACTAACGACAGTAAACATTTTACTTAGGCGGTCATTTGAAGGGTTAGCAATCATGGTAGTATCCATAGTGGAAAGTAACATTACACGTCATGCATTCTGACAAATATTCTTTTCTTTTTTTAATTTCTTTTTTATGTTCTCACTACACCATTGTAATGTCAACAGCTCGCCCCGTTGGTAAGTAACCATCCTTCTATCCATTTTAGCATGGCTTCATGCAATGCTTCATCTTTCATTTGCAACAGCTTTTAGCTGGCTGAAACTAGCAGCCAGTGCTTAATAGTTTTAACTGTTTAACACCAGGCAAGTGATTTTGACTGTCAAAGTGCTATTTCTGAACTTTGTATTTTTCTGCTGTGTCATGTATAAATGCATTTGCCAAATCATCAACAAATACCAATCAGGGAAACAGGGTGGGTTCTGGTGATACTGAGCCAAAATCACTCATTCAGATGTTTTTAACTGTCTATTTAAGGGCCTGGTATAACAGCCATTGAAATCAACATAAAGGATTGTATTGACTTCGGTGAGCTTCTACCAGGTCCTGAACGATCAGCTCATTATGCTTTTATTGCATAGCAGTAAAAGCACAGGCTTTGCATGTCCTGTCTTTCTTGTATCTTTCAAAGAGTTTTGAAATTAAGTAGTCCTGAAATTGAAGAGGGGCTGGAGTAGATTTCCGTGCCTGTTAAGAAAGTTTATCACTGATTTTTGCTCTTGGGTCATCTTGGAGTGCATGTTGGAATGCACTGTGTAGTTATGCAGCCAGTTTTGAATAACAAATCAAGAGGAAGGCAACCTCTGGATTTTTAATTCCAACACTGAAAATTTGATTTTTTTCCTATACCTTTGAAATTATTTCTGAAAATTTATAAAAATCTAACTGACCGTAATGGAAAATTTGCAACTGTCAGTAGCTGAAATTCACTTTTGGTGTTCAGAAATAGCCTGAACGTATTATTTAATTTTCTTTCACGGATGTTTACTCTGTGCCTATATGGATTTTCTAAATAATTCAACCAGTTGCACTGCTCCTCTGATTTTTGTAGTATGTGTTTAGATGTATCTTTTAGAATAATAATATGGTTAGTGTGATTTTTTTGGATTAGTGTGAAAAGTCAGTACTGGTGTTTATGGAGATTGCTGAGGGGTTTGGTCTTTCTTTAGTCAAAACTTTTGTTAGATATGTTTTGATTAGAGTTTATGAGTTTGAACTTGTCTCAGCTCTTCACTGTTACGAGTATGGAGGAAGAAAGGCTGGAAAAATTTAATGATGAAATCCAGGTTAGACAGTCAGTTTCCAGAACTGAGGTGATCCCGTGCTTATTAGCTTGCTTGAACTAGCATACGTATAGCCATGCCAAGTACTTCTGCAGTCACAGCATGGCTTATCCACACCTGGAGAATTCCCTGTGCAGGATGGAAATTCACTGTTGTCCATTTGGGATTTTGATAGCAAGCTTTAAACCCCAGTCACTACAGTATTACTTTGTCATTGCAGTAGTTCTCAAGAAATTCATTTCCAGGAGTTGTAACAGTGTAAAACTGGAGTAACCTCATAAGGAAACTTTCCTTTGCTTAGAAAATACAGTATGAATTTAGTATACTTCTGATGTAAGTATACTTCTCTCATGTTAGAGAGAGGGGGGATATATGGCTGCTTCTTCATTCACTAAGAAAATACTGCAAGATTAAAAATATTTTACTTCTAGATATTTTTCTCACTTTTCTCACTCTTAAAAGAAAGAAAAGAAAAAAATTCACGAAGTAGAGACTGTTTCAGGCTCTGTGAAAGCCACATAAAATAAATGACTGGAGATTCACAATAAAATGATAGGTTTCAGCAGTGTTGATGGTGTCTCATTTCAGAACACTGATTCTTCTTTAAGACTTTTCAGGCCATTGAGTCATCCATGATTCCATCTCCAAAGCTTGTACAGAAGTTCTTTGTCTCAAGTTACTTTATATCCAGGTATATGATCCCCTTGTGTAACCATGCTGTGGTCAGTCTGGCATATTCCCTGCCTAGGTTATTTTATTTTGTTGCAAGTGGTACAAAGAAAATTCTTCTTTTACGTGATTTATTCAGGAAACATAAATTAGAATGATTGACCTTAAAATAATTATTATATGGGTATATGGTCTTCATCAAATTATTTAATTTAGTGATTATCATTGTGAAAAGATTAAGTAAATAAGCCCAACCTCAAAGATATTTAACATCTAGAACTCCCGTAGAAGTGTGTACGTAGTGATTGCTATATATAAGCAGATTAGTTTCTTTTAGTCATTTTTTTCTTATCCTGTGCCTGTAGAAAAGGCAATGCTGTTCTTATGATAGTGTATACCTTTATTGTTTTCTGATTAAGGACCTGAAATGAAACTGATTTCCACAGTTCATATATTTGTTTCATTCAAGAGTAGGCCAAAGCAGGTGACTACCTATCTTGTTTTTTGAAAATTTAAAGCCTGGTAAGGCAAAACAAAGTAACTTCCCTCTCCACCACCAGTTCCCCATCAAGAAGCCCAAGTGATCTTATGTTAAAATTGTCATTTGACAAGAATGGTGACTCAATTCTTGTAGCATTTTTTTGTTCAGCAAGTCAACTGGAATGCAGAGCAAAAATACCTTTCCTTACAGAAAGGAAGCTAAAGCAGATACTACTTAATGTTATTAAACTCACAGCTCTCTAGACAGGTGACATTTTAACAGAAGTATATTTCTGTATTTATGTTTATGTTAAACTTCAGGGGAGCTGTTTAAAAGTTTGTATTCTTTCATGACATCTAAGTATTATCTAGGTGCACCTACCTTTCATCACTATCTCCAATTCAAAGCAGACATGTTTTGTCTTTACTGTGTTTAAACAAGACCAAACCATTTTCTTTCAATGTCTTATCACTGAAGAATAGAGAAATGTATTTTTAATGTTCCGGGATTGCAATTCTTGTTGAAAATGGAATCATTTTTATTTTCTATTCAGTTTTTGCCTGTTTCAAATATTTATATTCTGTTAGTTTAAATAGAAATTATATTTATATATTTCTATATAATTTCTATATTTTATTATTTCTATATAATAGAAATATAATTTCTATTTAAATTTCAGTTTGAGTGGAAAATTCAGGATTGGGATTACCAATGACCATGTTTGGTTCAAGCAATTATTAACATATGGTATATACTACATAGACAAAATGAGGTATAGTTCTGCCTGAGGTGGATGGCAGCTGGTGAATTTAACAGCTCTATGCCAGATTACTCATCATGTTTGGATTTTCTGCTAGGAATAAATGTGCTGCCCATTTCTAAAATAGATGTTCTCCTATTTATATCCTTTTGAAAAGATTTCCAAGAGGATTTACAGCAGATAGGCATAGGAAACAAGATATTTATCCCTATTTAGACCATTTCTATCATTATTTCACTCATTAGATGGATTTTCCAGATGAACAAGTTAGTATTTTCTCACTTTCACATTCTACTGTATTTCTTATGGCAGTTGGGCAGGAAAATAGCTGCTAAAAAAAGCACAAAAGCTGGGAGGAGCCCAAAAGTTTTGTATAGTCACACTGAAAGTAACACTGACCCTCTTTTCAAAAGCAGTTGCTATACTGCTTTGAGACAGAGGACCTCACGTTTAAGTAGAAGATCTATGAAGATGTCTGATGTTTCAGTTACCTTTTTCTTAATCATCTAAACAGTCATTCATGTGACAAAGTACTCAGTTTTCAAATTATTTTCAACTGCATCCAAGTGAAAAAACAGTCTTTTACGTTTCAGTTGCTTTGCAGTTAGTCAGGTTTACTTAATTTATTGTCACATGCTATGACTCATCTTCCCTGTAGGAAGCAACATGAAGCAAATAGCTAGATACTTTTGCCACCTGGAGTGAAATCAAGTATATAGAATTAACTAAGGAAGTAAAGAAACAACAACCAAGTTAGAAAAACATCACTTCCCTACCAAGTTGGAGAAGAGAGAAACAGATAAGACATCTTTTGATGATATGAAATTTCCCATATTTCATATTAATTAAGTACAGTCTATTCACATTTAAGTGCAATGTGACTATATGATGCATTTAACTCTGCTCGGGGAAGTTTTCATGACATAAATCAGCCTGCCATGACTTAATGGTCTATTAAGAGTGGTGCAGCATGAAACATAAAATAGGAAAAGCTGTATTTTAAAAAAAGTTATGTTAGGTGTTGTGACTAGAATGATATTGTTCAGGTGTTTTAGACTGGAAAGTGAGAAAGATCTCTGTTCTCCATTCTGACTCTTACTGGGAAAATCTATATAGGATGAATTATTTTATTTTTAGCATATTCAAGAATATATCACCTTCACTTGAGACACTGAGGATTTATAAAATATCAGTAACAGCGACTGGTGTGTGACAGAAGAGATGAGATCATGCTTGGCACATTGGTGCCATCTTTTAGTGGTGGAAATCTCAAATCTATATCAAAGTGTGGTATGTTGCCTGTCTGCCTGTGGTACCACCTGTAGAAATTTTCAGAAGAAAAATTTCTTCTTTAAGGATATCAGTGGACATTAGGCTTTTTATATTTGTTTCTCCCTTAAGTGAAAGAATAATGCATCGTTCTTATTTAAAAATTTAAAAGCAAATTCTTCAGATTAAAGAGAAAAGCTTGCCACAGAATGAAATCCAGATTCCTTTGTATACCAGTAAGAGATTAAAATATGGATCTGACTTGTTTTGGCATCTCTTAGCCTTTTAAAGACCAGTCTAAAAATCCTAAAGTTCTTAACATTTGGATGGAAAACATCCACTAGCTGAACTTAAACTTGAATCCTATAAGAACTTTAGATATCATAGAAATACAACACTTGCAAATATGGGCTAGAATGGATCCGCAAGTGGGCACTGAGCACATTAACCACCAAGCATTTAAGTGCTGATTCGCAAAACTCAGATTCATTCCCAGCTGCTCCAAGTCTTCTTCAGGATGCTGGATAGTGGTCAGAACAGAAATGCAGAAGGTCTGAAAGGATTCTTCTTCAGTGATAAGTGTGAAAGATGGCAGTGTATGCACTTGAAGTTTTAGCATGTCATACTGTGATGGCCTAGCTGATTCCATTATGGCACCAAGTATGTGCCAGTACTCATACTGTTTCCCTTAGAGAAAACCCAGTTATAGCAAGTGCA